CGGCCGCTCTGGCGGGCTCGGGGACAGCGCCGACTGCCCCGGAGCTCGGCCGCGGCCGATACCGGGGGGCGGCCCGGAGGAGCTCTGGGTCGAGCCCTCTGCCAGGCCCGCCCGAGCATTACTGGGCCTAGTAAGGGGCCAGAAGCGGGAGGTGGGGGCGGCATGATCCTTGTTGGCCTCTTCTGCCTCAGAGTGCAGAACAAGAAGCTGTACCTGGCCACGTTCGCTGCTGTCCTGGGACCGCTCAGCTTTGGCTTCGTGCTAGGCTATAGCTCACCTGTTATTCCAGAGTTGAGGAAAATCAACGATCCTAAATTAAGATTGGACAGCAATCAAGCCTCGTGGTTTGGGGTGAGTCTCCGTATGATGCATTACCATTATGTGATTTCACTTGAAAGCATAGGTCAGGAGGATGCTGCTTGTACGATGGGGTCTTACTCCTCTTAAGAATGAAGGTAAATGCAGATCTTGATAATGAAATCCATTTTTTTCCTAAACTCAGTGATTGATTCAAATTTTTCCTGAATAATGGTGCTGTTATGCTCTGATAACTCTGTTAGTATATATTAATAAATGCCCCTATTATTAGAACTTATTTTTGGTGCTAAAATATCTTCTAACTATTCTCATGTTTCTCAATTGAACCTGTTAAGGGACTGCAGAAAATAAACTTCTTGATAAATTAGTGCAACCCATCAACATGGGGAATATTTGCTTTTTGGGTGCAGGCTGGACTTCAGGTTAGTCAAGATAACAGTAAATTCTTCAGGGCTTTAAAGCAGTTTGAAAGGCCTGTTTATGAATGGACAGCTCTGTAGACAGATTAAGAAACAGTTACTGCTGCTTTTTTTTTTTCCTTCATTGAAGGAAATACGAAAATTACTTGCTGTTCAGTTGTGGTGAGTAGTGCTTCTTGACTATGTTTTGATTAAGAAGTTAATGTTTATCTTGATTTTCAAAACACCTGTGTAGTCTTGCACATTTTTTTAGAAGCTGCCATTTACTTTTCAGGATTTTAAAAGAAATTGCTGTCTGTTATTTATTTTTATATTTACTTATATATATAAAATAATTTTCTTTTTTACTTGTTTTTTGAAGTCAGTAGTAACATTAGGAGCTGCTGCCGGAGGAATACTAGGAGGCTATCTTGTGGATAAAGCTGGGAGAAAGCTGAGTCTAATGCTGTGCTCGATACCATATGTTTTTGGATACATAGTTATTATATCTGCTCAGAATGTTTGGATGCTTTATTTTGGACGAATGCTGACAGGCTTGGCCAGTGGAATTACTTCACTTGTTGTTCCGGTAAGTAAGACATTTTTCTGGACATGTGTGCATGTGTGGTTGCTTTTTTGTTTGTTCGTGGATTTTTTGTTTCTTTTTCCATAGCAGTATTATAGGTGGCTTGGATGAAGTAACTAAATAACTGTAGCCAAGGCAGTTTGTGGATTTAGAAGAAACTGTATGGAATATATGCTCGTTCTTTATCAATCTGGATGGTCATAAAAATAAAATCTAAAAAAGATTCAGGGTGGTATGGTCTAAATAATAGTATTGTGCAATTTTCTCTCTTCTTGGAAGCTTGGTTGTGTTAATGTCTTTGGAGGAATTCTGTCTGCTTTACAAATGACTGCTTTCTCTTTGTTTCACGGAGCTGAGCTCTAAGTTCCCGTATGTGAAGGCTTTAACCCACAGCCAACAGTAAAAGATCTGTGTGACTGCAGTGATGAGGGAGGATAGTGTCATATGTAATACCAAGGTTTTGTAGCTCTAAATTATTCTTGAAATAAGGATTACTTATTTTCCTTCCAGAAAAAGTAAGAATTGTGACTTTAGAAAGAATTGTATATATAAATATGAGGGATTTCTTTTTTATGTGTACAGCTAAACTATAGCTGTTGACTTGGGGTCAATATATTAAAAAATAGCTGAAAAGTTTAAGTTGATCCCAGATATTGGATGAGGTATGATGCTGTTCATCACATATAGTCTGTGTTAAGATGAGCTGTCAATTTTGAACTTCATGGAGAATGAAATAATTTGCACTCTTTGTGTTGAATTAAAAATTTAAAAGTTTGATTGTGAACAGTTTTATATGTGGCTTGGGCTACATGTTTATGCAAAGACTGTTCCAAGCTCTAGACTGCTTTGTGATGATGTTTCTTGTTGAATATGGCTAACAAAAGCAGCTCTTACTAATGCAAGTTTATTCACCTTTGGGATACTGATACTACATCAACATTCTTCTGGCGTGGGTCCTCCCTTTTTTCCAGCATTTTTCATAATGCCAATATACATTTCTGAGATAGTACTCTTCTACTCACTCCATTTTATTAAGGCTTTTTTTTAAGGAGAGGAGTTACTAGGAAATACATCTGGGTTTTTTCAGAAATTAATTACTTATCAAGTCCTTGATCCAAAATTGGATAGAATTAATTATTAGATGTTTTCTTCCCATGTTTTAGATGTACATATCTGAAGTATCTCATCCTAATGTCCGTGGTATGCTTGGCTCTTGTGTTCAGTTGATGGTGGTGACTGGCATACTGGGAGCCTATGTTGCAGGTATTTGCATTAGGTCTCTAGGTTACAAAAAAGAATTAGTACATGTAATGAAAGAACTACACTGAAGAATTGAAAGTAAATGTTAATTTGTTTGTACAACTAATGGATGTTCATAGTCCTCTTTCTTTCCTTTCTGTTACCCAGGAATAACACTAAAATGGCACTGGCTGGCAGTGTTGTGCGCTTTTCCATCCTGCAT